TTTAGCTCTGTCCCCATCAAATTGAATAGGGTGGTCTAGGACCGTCCCATAAAGCGAGGGTCGCGATCACTCACAATATCTTCAGGCATGCCAAATTATTTTACCACGTTCTTGAAGAATAACTCAATAGCAACGTCTGTCGAGCAAGCACGTGGGGCAACAATGAATATACCATACTTCGAGAACCGATCGACAATGACCAAAACAAATGCCATGCCTTTAAATTTTGGAAATCCCACAATGAAATCCATTGATAGCGACTGAAAAGGTATGTTTAGAATTGGCAGGAGCTGCAGCAAGCCCGTCTCTTTCTTCCTCTCGCCTTTGTCATGCTGGCAAACAAGGCATGTACGGACATAGGACTCAACATCATCCACCATTTTTTGCCAATAAAATCTTCTTGTCATCAAAGCACACATATGATCCACACTTGGAACGCCAGCCCACGGAGAGTCATGGCAATCTTTTAGTAGTTCATACTTCATTCCTCCTGATAGAATGTATATCCTTCGACCTTTGGAATAGAGTAGCCCATCCTCTAGACAATACTTGCGCACCTCGCCAGTTGCCACTTGCTCGGTGAGTTTTACATAGATAACTTTTTTAAGGGACTCCACACGAACTTTCTCGACAAAATCATATTCAACAGTATACAAGGCCAACACATAAGACGCCACGACCTTCTGACTCAGAGAATCGACAACATCGTTGTGTTTCCCCGACCGCTGAACCGAATCGAAGTCAAACTCCCCCAAAACATCTTGTCAACTTGCTTGTTTTGGGGACAACTTATTCTGAGTTCAAAAGTATGTATAGCAACATTGTCCGTAACAACTGTAAATCGCGTTCCCAATAAATAATGGCGCCACATCTCCAAGCATTGGATCACGGACACCATCTCCTTTTCATGGGTGTTGTATCGAGTCTCAGCATCCTTCCATTTTTATCTCGCAAAAGCAATTAGGTGTTAGTCTTGCACCAAAACACAGCCAATAGCCCGATCTGAAGCATCGACTTGTACCTCGAATGGCTTGTGGAACTCAGCAAATTTTAATATTGGCCATGTGGTCACAGCTTGCTTCAACTTATTGAAGGCCTCCTATCTAGTGTTATCGCAACCCTAACATATGTCCTTCTTTAGCAAATCCATCAATGGACTAACTAACGTGGAATAAACCTTTAACTAATCTTCGATAATAATTAGTCAGTCCTAAGAAAAAGCGCAACTCGATCACTTTGGTTAGCTCGGGCCAATTAAGAACAACCTGCACATTTTGAGGGTCCATGCGAATGCATCCTTGGTTATGATGTGCCCAACAAAAGTTATTTCTTCCTGACAGAACTCACATTTTTTCTTCTTCGCATACAACTTGATTTCCCTCTATTTTTCAAGCACACACCGCAAGTGCTTGATATGATCATCAATAGTCTAAGAATAGATCACAATATCATCTAGATATACCATTACAAATTTGTCCAAATACTCCTATAGCACGTCATTCATTAGATTGCAAAATGTACCAGGGGCATTGGTTAACCCGAAGGGTATCACCAATTACTCGAATGACTCGTACTTTGTCACACATGTGGTCTTTGCCTCGTAACCCGGGGCAATACGCACTTGTCAATATCAGACCTTAGATCAATCTTCATCTACCATTTTGCTTGAGTCAACTTGTCAAACAAGTCCAATGCATTAAGGATTGGATACTTGTTCTTTGTAGTAATTTTGTTCAATGCCCGATAATCCACACACATGCGCAACGATCCATCTTATTTACTTTGGAACAACACCGGGGAACCGTATGGCACCTTAGAGGGCTGTATCAACCCGACACCAAGTAACTCGTCCAATTGCTTCCTCAATTCGCTTAGCTCAACTGGGATCATCCGATAAGGATGTTGCGCAGAAGAGTGAGCGCCCGGCTCCAACTCAATTCGGTGGTCGCATGCGTGGGGGTGATTCTTTAGGCAACTCAGGGGGCATTGTATCCGTGAATCCCTCAAGAAAGTCACCAACTGCACCTGGTACTTCGTGAAATACGTTTGGTTTGGTCTCAATCAAAACAACAATGTATATTGTGTGTCTATGCCTTAGTCCATCCCGGACCTGGAAGGACGACACCATGCTGGTTTCTTGAACGCTATGTGGTTAAATTGCTATAAACTTCCAAATGTTATTTGGTTTTTGAACGTGATGGCAAACTAAAATTCTAGTTTTTTGAATTAACATCGACTTTGCACTGATTATATGTTTAATGAATTTCATTTCACTTGTCAAAAAACATGTGTTTTTACGCCAAGCGATAAGCTAGCAAAAGAAATACTCGGAGCATCGGAGGTTAGAGGGGAAAAGCTATGAAGGTTGTCATTAGAGGAAAGTTACTGGGAATCAATGAAATCACGAATTGCTGATATGGTCACCACTGGCGGCCGTCAAGGTGAGGCCCTCACAACTGCTCTTGTCTTGAAGCAGGTAAAAAGAAAGAAACTTTAATATTTGATCATGGTTATATTTATAGGAAAACTTTATTAATATTCATCATCTTGTGGAGGGGTCTTGAAATGACCCGAGGGGTCTTGAAATGATCTTTGTTACGAAAGAAAAATACCCAAGACTTTCATGTTTGTTGTAATCATTCCAAAGAGTTTGACAATTTTTTGCAAAACAATATTGATAATATGATATTAATAATCATTCCATGCATCTCCAACACTTGTCATAGATCACTATTAACCAACATGCAACTATTTGTGATGAAAAATCTCAGTTCTAAGAAATTAAGGGCGTGTTTGTTATACAAATAAACTCAATTTATTCTCAAAATATAATTCAACATAAATTAACCTTAATATTCTTAATATTATCGATACAATTAAATAATACGAAAAATCAATTATTCTTACACATCACATCAATTTTAATTCACTATTCATCCACTCAAATAATTTTAACTAACCATCACTTCACACCATGTCTCTATTAGTTTTACATCAAATCAACTTTAATTATTTTACTTTCAATATTATTTTTAATTAAACTCAAAATCTTCTTAACAACTAATAATACAACTTTTTTCAAAATTAACCCTAGCTAATCAAAAGAACTTGTTTTGAGCGAATATATTCGTATCTAAGCACGCCCTAAATTTGTTTTGTTTTTTTCAAATTGTAAAGGAGAATGGTGCAATGGATGCACATAGACGTGACTGGCCCAATTTGGAACGATGAAAAGAAAAACGCAACTAAATTTGAAATTCTTTACGATGGTTGAGTGGGTCTTAAAGAATTCTAATTAAAGTTCAGAGCTTGAATTGCAATTTACGTCCTATTAAATTATTAAGGTAGCAATATAAATTCCACTGAAGTGACATATATATAACAACTTAAGACCTATAAATTAAAGTCAGACACTTGACCGTTGAAATTCTCAATTTTGACGGTCAAAAGGACTGAAATTGCAACAAAATTTAAAATTATAGGACTTAAATTTCTAATTAACATCCATATCAAATATATAAATTGGAAATTTTGTAGGCAAAATGACAGAAATTGAAGCAGAATTTTAAATTACATGACTTCAAATATTATATTTCACTTCAATTATATTTAAATTGCTACGTTAATAATTTAATAGAACCAAATTTGCAATTTAACCTCAAGATGAGTTGAATGTAATCCTCAAGGGACCAATCTAGGGATGGCTGCAGGTGAGAGAAAATGAGCAGGGGGTCAGTGCTATAAGCTCAAATCCTGGAGTTTATCTAGTTCAAGGACAGACTTTTGTCCAAAGTTCAGAGGTAGCAGCATGGAGGATCTCATCAGAGCAGCCTAAAGCTTCAGTGGAAGATCTCCTATTAGAGTTGAGAACTGGGCTAGGAAATGAAGTGGCCGATGGCTAGGAGAAGGTGGATGTGTGTTTTCTTGACAAGGCTTTGGGCAATATGATGAAAAATCCTTCTGTGTTTTCTTTCTAGTTTATGTGTTGTTGTTGAAGACATTCTGTTCTTTAACTCTTTGTTTTCCTCTTGTTATTTTTGCTAGTGTAGTTTGTTTGCTATCGTTTAGATCGATGTGGTCTTTTAGGGGTCCAGGTGTAGTGTCCCCTGTTTGGGTTTCTAGCTAGCTTGCGGGCTATTGGAGCTTCGTTGTAATCTGTTGGTTGGTTACTCGAACTGTGTATTTTGGAGTTTTATCTACGAAATTTTATGTTTGGGTAAAAAATTAAAAAAGAGTTGAATGCAGTGTGTCCGCGCCATATTAGCGGAAGTTTGTTTTGTGGTGTAATGTTTGTGGCCTTTTGTCTTTGAATATTGTTATGTAGAACTTTTCGGAACTCTTGTGTGCGTGGTACTTTCATTGAGCTGATTTTGATGCACAACTACTAAACCATAATACAACGGTTTGAACAAAAGCGAGTTCGGTTTGGCAAATGAATTATTCATAGAAGTATTTTCCAAAATACGCATTTTTTTTAAAATCAATTTTATATATTAAACTGTTTTTATATCCATAATTTTTCTCCTGTTTATTCATTAACTCATGTTTTTTTCTCGACAAACTAAAAATTACATCATAACACTTCATTCTTCTTTTGAAAAAATATATTTAATCTTTCTTATGACAATTCTTCAAGATGAGGAAACGTTAATCACATTAATAATAAAGAAATAATTGCGAAACAATAAACTAAAAATAAAGAAACACACCATCTAAATCAAAAGAGAAAAAAAAAAATCCTCGAAATTAAATCAGCTAATTATATACACACATACCACACACTGACTAATTTCTATAGCTACAACAAAAAATCAGCTAATTATAGCTACAAAGCTAAAATCAAACCCAAGATTAAGAAAAGCAAATCAAAATAAAAATAAACGATTAATCTGCTTCGAAAACTATTAAATCTAGCTCCAACCTTCTCCATGATCTCCAAGATGGACAAAAACCGAAAGAAAAAAAAAAGGATAAATTCGTTTCGATTTTTCAATTTTCCAATGAAAAAAGAAAAATCAGCTCATCGTCTAAGCATCGTACAAAACCAGCCGCCTGAAACAGAGGGTGCAGAAGTACCTCCGCTTGAATCTGAGGCTGATTGGGAGAAAACAGAGCCTCCACTGGCGGCCGACGTCGACGGCGGCCACCTTTCCGCCGCAGTATGGGCACGATCCCGGCGCCTGCTGCCGCCCGATCTCCGTCTCTTCCGCCCGGCACACCAGAAAACACATACGGACACCGATTGTGTGTGTGTATATATATTTATGTAATTGGGAGATTTTTTGGTTTTGAATGAGTTGTGTGGGTTTTGGTGGGAGTTTTCTATTTAGCCAATTTTTGTGGATTGTTATTGAGCGCCGGATATAAGATGTGGAAAATGGATTTCGAGAATATTCGGCGGGTGGTCGTTCGAGAGGCGTCGCGCTAACGTGCGCCTGGCAGTAAAACTAACATTTTTTTTTTCCTTTTATATTTTATATTAGTGTTTTTAAATCCGTTGTGACCAGATTACCTCTATAGCCGTGAATTGATGAATCAGATAGTCAATTTTAACATTTTGACAATATTGTGTACTATACGAGTCCCTTTCTTATAGGGTTTGGGCACAGAGTCTTAGTTCCTCTTGTAGGATTTGGTTCTGGGTAAAGGAGAGTTAGATCTAGATTATTTGTTTCTGTAGTAGCTTTCTCTGTCCTTTCTTTGTTTCGTTGTGTACGGTCTTGGTTTTTTGCCTTACTTTCTTCCTTCCCTTGTGTTTCATTTGCTGCTTCAGTGGTGTTTTTCAAGTGACTAAGGATTTATCAAGAAGATCCATTGAATGGAAGACGAGGTGGTAGAGAAGTTACAACGATTTGCCCTCTCTGATAGGGAGGAAAAAGGGGTAACGTTATCGGATAAAGATGTAGGGATTGGAGTGCATGATTGTCAACTAAGTTTGATTGGAAAGGTGTTTGGAGAAATGAAAGTAAATTTAGGAGGCTTTAAGAACACATTGGGGGAATATGAGTTACGAGATTGCTATTCACAGTTCGCAGCTTGGGAACTAATATGTTTCAATTCATTTTCTGATGTGAGAAAGATAAAGAAAAAACACTACAAGGGAAAACTCGGACTTTCGATGGGCAATATCTCCACTTGAAGGCATGGTATCCAAAACAGACATAGTTCAAGAGGCATGGGATCCAAAACAGACAGAGTTTGAGGAAGATGAAGAGAAAGTGAAGTTGTGGGTGCAAATCTTAAACTTACCATTACATTGGCTATCAGTTGTAGTGAGATTGAAGGTAGGAAGGCTCATGGGAAAACTTCATGATGTGTTTGTGCATGGGTCAGGGGTCAATCAAGGCAGAATCATCAAAGTTCTAGTGGAACAAAGCTTAAAGGAACCTATTCTCAGAATAGCAAAGATCAATTTGGGACAAGAAACGAGGTGGGTCGATTTCAGGTATGAGAATTTGCAAAGTTTTTGTTTTTACTGTGGAAAGATTGGACATGGTGATAGAGATTGCCCACCTAAGAAAGAAGATGTGAGTAGAAACGTTCTTAACTTTAGGCAGTTTGGAGATTGGCTTAGGGCAACTTTGTTTAGTACGAGTGAGGGTAGAGGAACTAAAGCTAGTTCCAATGATAGTCAACCTTCAGGAAGTAAATCTACCAAAACTCCAAGCCTAAATAAGGAGGGAGAGGAAAGTGGCTTAGAAGGAAAATTTACAGGATCCTCTAGTAAATGTGATGGGATTTTGGGCACAGGAGATCTGGCTTTGTCCATTCCTAGTGAGAAATGTGTGAGCCCTGTAGATGAGAGGTCAGCTAAAGAGGGTAGCTCAGATATTTCTGAACTCATATCCTCCCAATCAGTGCCTCAGCTTACCTTTAGTGATCTTGTGGATATTGATGTTAAGGATAGTAACAATAGCAAGGGGGAAAAAGAATCAAATGGGCTTTGTGAGGAAGCCTACAGTAACTAAAACTTGGTGTGCTGTTAGTATGTAGGTTGGTAATCAAGGTGTGTCTTTCAAAATAAATATTACGTCTTAATTAATCAACGATAAACATAGATCATCCAATTCATAGACAAATCAAAATTAGGGTTCAAACATTCCCTAAAACTGGATAAAAATACTAAACTAATATACTACTAAAAATAAATAAAAGATAGATAAAAGAGAGAATAAAATTCTTCTTCGTGTGCGGATGCGGCTTCTCTCCACGTGTGTAGCCTCCTTTAGTGCATGGTCCGTCTACTTTTTTCTGTCTGTATAGCGTCTCGCAAATAAGTCCCCTCCAGATATATGTTGCAGCCTGGGAGTATATTTTTTATTTCCCTGCGGCTAACCGAAAAAAAAAAAATCCTCTTCATCCAAATAAATCCACCTCTCTCCGCGTGCGTGCGTGAGTCAAAAATCAAAATAAATCCTCCCCTCAAAAGTTACTTTCCAAATCCATTTTTCTCCAAGTCCAGCACGCCATTTTCATTATCTTTGGGGTATTTACACTACTAAACATAAATTATCCCAATAACCATATATAATGGAAGTAGGCAAAAAATTTAATATCCTCTTGGGATTTTTTTCTTAATCAACTCCATCATTGATCCCAAATTTATATGTATTGGGACGCCTCGATTATTACTCACGTGAACTCTCGTCAACGGCTTCACGTCCACAAACATACTCCAAAATACTGAAAAATAATACATAAAACATCAAAACAAATAAATCCATCCAAATAATAAATAAGTCAAAAAATATAAACATGCGAATAAATTAAGTGTATAAAAATACACAATTGAACTTATGAAATGTGCACATTTTTTGACCTATCAGGAAATGAATCATCAACCCACAAAGCAGGTGGAGGAAGAAAAAATGCAAAGGGATGTGTTGGAGATGGATCCCAACAAGGCTCTAGGGATAGATGGTATGTCACCAGCTTTCTTTCAATATTCTTGGTCTAATGTGAAACATCACTTGTGTGCAGCAGTTGAAAACTTTTTCTATTTTGGTAGACTCCCAAAAGAAATCAATCATACACTAATTTTCCTTATTCCTAAAACAAAAGTGCTTCTTATGTCTCAGATTTTAGGCCAATTAGTCTTTGTACAATTTCTTACAGAGTAATTGATAAAATCCTAGCTAATAGACTCAAGTCAGTTTTACATGCTTGCATTTCCCCAAATCAATCTGCTTTTATCCCTAGTAGGCAAATATTGGACAACGTTATCTTAGCCAATGAATGCATTCACTTTTTGAACAGGAAAAGAAAGGGCAAAGTGTAATGCACCGTTTATTTTTAAAAGAAAAAGCTCGATTCCCAAAGTTCAAGTTAAGTTTTCCAAATATATTTTCAAATTAAAACTATCTGCTTAAATTCCTTTCTTTCTAAAACTCGAGCCAGAAAGAACTCTTTTTTCACAGAGAATTGAACACACAGTTGAAAATCTCTTTACAAAGCTAAAGACTTCAATAGTAAACTCAAAAATACACACAATAGAAAACTCAAAGTTGAAGTAAACCAATTGCTAAAAACAACTACGACCACCCTTGTCTCCTCGTGTCCGCCTCCAGTTACTTAACCTGAAAGAATGTTAATGTATGGGGGTGAGCAAACACAAGCTCACCATGGGAACTATGCAATATATTCATCATAATAACCGGTGACATAACTTCAATATATAATGACACATAGCAAAACCACATAGGTCACAACTGTTTCGACTGCTCAACTCATCCGCACGTCTCATATGTACACACTTTTACCGTCGGTCCGCCATCACATAGTCCCTAGGTAGGGGTGGTATCGGTTCGGTTACCGAACCGATAAGCGTATACCGATACCGTACCGATAATATCGGTAACCTCGGAATGCAAAACCGATACCGAATCGATTAAAGTCGGTTACCAAAAATTCGGTAACCGAAAACTCGGTTCGGTTTTGGTTCGGTATCGGTTTTATACCCAAAAAACCGAACCGATTTTGAGCACAAAAAAAAAAGTTGCTAGTGTTTACTTTTCTCGTCATTTTTGTAATTGTTTTTCACTTCTTATCAATTAAATACACACAAAAGACTCACAAATCCATTGAAGGATTAAAAAGCATAAATTTAATGTATAGAAGTTAGTTTATATATTATTAGATTATGGTTTTTGTGGTAAACGCAACTAATAAAACAATATATTCCTAACATGAAGAAATAAAATTTGTGATACATCTTCAACTAACTTATCTAGTAACGGTGGTACGAGAATAGACTACAGTAACGGTAGCATGCATCTTCTTTAGAAGAAGTGATACTGGTAAACCATCAATGTTCCAATTAGAAGGTGAATGAGGCGATGAGTAATGGCATTTTTCTCGTCATTTTGAGATTTAGGTAGGATTGAGCCCTTATTTCAATTTTTGAACATTAAACAACTAATCATTGTTTTAATATTTTTTAAAAAAAAATCTTTGTTTTATTTTTTTTACCCTTATCGGTTCGGTATCGGTTTTACCGAAAGCTTATGGGTTCAAACCGATACCGTACCGATAGTGATTCGGTAACGGATAGTCGGTTACCGTTACAAGCGGTTCGGTACAGTTCGGTTTATTTTCTCGTTGGTTCGGTTTGTTATCACCTAGGTATAAAAAATACACGGGAATCCTACGAACTGATATGTATTTTTCAGTTCTTACAAATAATCTAAAAATTAAAAAATTACAATCGAACTGAAAAATAAATTACAACCGAAAAATAAATTAAAACTTAAAACGGAAAGATTTTAGCCGAGGCGAGTAAAACTCTTTCCGCAAGAAGAATACGCCCCGTGTGGCAGCTAACGGTTTAGGCGTAACTTCCCCAAAGATACAACGGCAAACGTCTCTAAATCTGTAGCACACCAGATTTACGAGCTCCGGCGAACTGGAACGGAGTCGAGAATTGAGCACTTAAAAAATATGAATAAAAATATCTCTCTTTTGTTATTTTGATAACAAACAAATATTTCTATATTTTTTTTTCTCTAATATTTTTATTTTTAAAAAATTATTTTGGACAAATTTTTCTTTCTTTTCTTCCTCTTTCTTTCCTCTCTTTTTTCTTTTCGGTGTGCCTTTTCTCAGCAAAATGACTGACTATTTATAGAGATGAAATTGAGATCAAATTGCAATTGAATAATTGATACAATTAATTAAAAAATGGTTGGCAAAAACTGATTGAGAAATGATTGGGTTGAGTTGGAAAATGGTTGGCCTAACCATTAATAATTGGTTGAGAACGTGATGTTTGTCTTGGTTGTCCAACTTAATAATACACTCACAATTAACTTAATAATACACTCACAATTATATAACAATCCCCCACATGAGTGTAAATTAAATATAGGCAGACTAGTTTGCTCAATCCTCACAAAACTCTACTGCATCAGAGAAGGTAGCTTTTGGCTTTGAACCTTTCTTAGTAAACATCATCGGATGTACTGGCGGACTAGTGGACATAATGCCTTGAACTATTCCTCCATAGTGTACACCTAGACAATGACATCCACACAATAGAGTCTTAACTCCATTTCGTTCTATCGTTGTGTCCGTTTTGGCCATGGACAACACAATGGATTCATAAGTGTTTACATTTGAAGCGGCCCACACTTCACACTTATATAGGTGACCTCCCTATCAAGAGTATCTTGTATTACTCCACCTTTACAAGGTTAGGGATTCATTAAAAGTCCACACGACTTACCCTTACCACAATCAATAGGTCATCATCACTTGGAGTGCTCTAGGGAATAGCTTTGGACATTCATATGTTCCAAGTGCTCAACTGAATTTTCATAGCTTAGTTTTCCCTTTGAACCAAGTTCGTGGGATCTCCACTCAGCATGGTAGGGTTACCACTATGATCATTCTTTTCATTGTGGATTTTTAAGCCCATTCCCTCTAGCAAAACTACCAATTGATCTCTATTCAATCCTTTCGTCAAAGGATCAGCCAAATTTTCTTTAGACTTCACATAGTCAATGGAAATAACACCATTGGTGATCAATTGTCGTACGGTATTATGTCTACGACGAATATGTCTAGACTTACCGTTATACAAGTTGCTTTGTGCCCTTCCTATAGCAGCTTGGCTATCACAGTGAATCATCACAGGCGGCAAAGTCTTATCCCAACATGGAATATCAAATAAAAAATTTCTAAGCCACTCGGCTTCTTCACCAGCTTTATCTAAAGCTATGAACTCCGATTCCATCGTTGACCGAGCTATACACGTTTGTTTTGTGGATTTCCACGAAACTGCACCTCCTCCAATACAGAAAACGTATCCGCTAGTGGAGCGAGAATCTCTCGAATCTGATATCCAGCTTGCATCACAGTACCCTTCAAGTACGGCTGGGTATCTCGAGTATTTTAGCCCGTATTCAAGAGTGTACCTTAAGTACTTAAGTACCCTTTTCAAAGCATTCCAGTGTTCATGACTTGGATTGCTCGTAAATCTGCTCAACTTATTCACCGGATAGGCCAAGTCTGGCCGTGTACAATTCGTCAAGTACATCAGACTCCCTATTATCCGTGAATATTCCAACTGAGCCACTGGTTGACCTTTATTGACTACTAGATTTATACTAAGATCAATGGGTGTCTTACACCTAGACTGTGCACCGTCATAGGTATCAAATTTCTTGAGCACTTTCTCTACATAATAAGATTGTGACAAGACAATTCCATCTTGGGTTCTAATAATCCTTATTCCAAGAATAACATCAGCCAAACCCATATCTTTCATGTCGAAATTTCTTTTCAACATTCTTTTCGTATCTATGATCACTTCATGGCTACTCCCCATGATCAACATATCGTCTACATATAGACATACAATCACAAATGCATTTGATGTACTCTTGACATAAACACATTTGTCACATTCGTTGATTTTGAACTCATTTGATAACATCACGTCATCAAATTTCAAATGCCATTGT